GAGGAGGAGGAGCCCCGGCCAGTGAGGAAGAGGAGCCCCAGGCAGTGGCCAGGAGCCCTAGGCAGTGAGGAGGAGGCCCGGCCAGTGAGCAGGTGTCCCGAGCAGTGAGCAGGAGCCCCGGGCAGCGAGCAGGAGCCTTGGGCAGTGAGGAAGAGTCCGAGGCAGTGAGCAGGAGCCATGGGCAGTGACCAGGAGCTGCAGTGTGCCAGTATTCACTCTGGCACTCAGGTAGGGACATCTGGACCAGCGTCCTGCATGGGCTGAGTCTCAGGCTCCTTGCTCCATGAATTAGCAGAACCTCAGGTGCCTGCTCTTGAGCATGGGAAGGTGACATAGCACTTCTAGTAGGTCTTTCTCTAACCTCTGCTCTTTGCAGTTATTACTTTTCAACCTAAGCGTGCCAGGGGACGACCTTGTGATTCCCAAGGGGCCCTAATGTAGGAATGTCAGGCATAGAATAGTTCCTACCCAGTGTGCCGTGCTGGCCAAGGCTTTCCCAGCTCAGAGCAGACCTCACGCTCAGCCAGGAGGCTGCCCACAGCCGTGGTGAGCTCAAGTCTCCTCTCCCTGCAGGGGGGTCTTTAGGAGCCCGCAACTCCGCAGTCCCTCCTTAGTGTAATGCGCAGGAGGAGGCACTGAGAGGCCCCAGGCCTTCAGGAAGCTGGAAGACGTGGATGGGGTGCAAGGCAGGGCAGAGCTAGGGGTGCGCAAGGTTTACAGAGGCAGTTAGTGGGATTCTGCTGAGAAAAGAATGAAAAGAGAAGGCACATGGACTTGAGTCTCGAGGTCCAGAAAGCTGAAGCAAGAGGGCCTGAGTCAAGCGGACAGGGCTCGTCTGCACAGGAGGCGCTTCAGCCGACATCAGAGAGTATGTGTCTGCACAAGGGCCTGCCAGTGAAGGTTTTCAAGTCATTGTTCACACGTGTCACCCTGGAGGGTTTGGAAACACTTCCTGGGTACTCTCAGGGTGCTCAGACAGTCGCTGTGGACCGGTGGCCAGTGTGCACGGATCATGCTGGTTTTTCTTTTTGAGGCAGGGTCTCACTCTGTCACAGGTCGGAGTGCAAAGGCATGACGCAGTTCCCTGCAGCCTCAGAGTCCTGGGCTCAAGTGATTCTCCTGGTTCAGCTTCCAGAGTAGCTGGGACTACAGGTGTGTACCACCAAGCCCAGCTCATTTTTTGTTTTTAGTAGAGATGAGGTCTCACTTTGTTGCCCAGGCTGGTCTCAAACTCCTGTCCTCAAGTAATCATCCCGTCTCGGCCTCGAACGTGCGGAATTATAGGCATGAGCCACTGCACCTGGCCTAATCATGCTGTTTTTGATATCTTGGGAGGCCAGGCTGGCCGGGAAGAGACTGTCCCTCCAGAGACAGCGAAGCCCCAGAGATAAGAAACAGCTTCCTGGGAGCCTGTTTATTCACCTGTAGACCAGCCAGGCCCAAGCCCATATCCCGATCAGCCCCTCTATGCAAATCTCACCACCAAGCCACTCTTTCCTGGGCCCTGAATCACCCAGGGCCGGGCAGCAGGCACTAGGGATGGACCTACAGCCTGGCCAGCAGCGCTGTTCAGACCAGCCAGTCCTGAGCTGTTCCTCTGCCCCACCTTGAAAGGCTCTGGTCTCCGCTTTCCCTGGCTCCTCTCTGCTTCCCCACCCAACCTGGGTCACCCCCTGTGGCCTTGCGGATGGCGCAAAGTGTGCCTCTCCTTTCCAGAAATATGAATAATGAAGTCTTTCAGTGGCACTGGCCACCCTCTGCGGGTGCCGGCACCTCTGTGAGTTAAACTTCCAAAGGCGCGATGGAGGCGTCTTGTGACTCAGTTCCTCGGTGCCAACATGGGCTGCCCCATCGGCCACAGCGCAGCCAAAGAGCCCAAACAGAGTTAGCATCTGTAGCCAGTCCCCTGTTGCCACCCCAGTTTATTTCCAAATTTCCAGTGACCGCAGAGTTCATCCCTGTTGTAATGTGTCAGAATTCCTTCCTTTTTTTTTTTTTTTTTTGAGACAGGGTCTCACTCTGTCACTCAGGCTGGAGTGCAATGGCAGGGTCATGGCTCACTACAGCTTCAAACTCCTGGGCTCAAGCGCTCCTCCTGCCTCAGTCTTCCCAGTAGCTAGGACTATAGGCATGCACCACCACGCCTGGCTAACATTTTACTTTATTTTTATAGAGAGAGAGTCTCTCTAGGTTGCAGCCCTCCCACCTTAGCCTTCACAGCGCTGGGCTAACAGGTGCAAGCCAGTGCACCTGGCCCAGAATTTCCTCCTTTTGAAGGTTGAGTGATGTTCCGCTGTCTGCACACACACATTCTATTCATCCTTTCATCCACTGATGGACACTTGTGTCGCCGCCACCTCCTGGCTGTTAGGAGTAGTGCACCATCTCTCGTGTGCAAATATATCTCTTCGAGACCTTGCTTTCCCGCCTGTGGCAGTAGTGCGGGAGGGAGGCAGGTCACTGGGCAAGCAGGTGTGCCCTGTGGGTGACGAGACGGTTTCCCTGGCGAAAGCCCTGCGTGGGTCAAAAGTTGGAAAATACATTTGATTTTAAACATTTGTTCAAAATGAATCACGCAAACACTGGATTTGCATCTATCATCTGAGATCTCTGCTGTCCCGGGTGGCATCTTCTTCCTGGCTCCCTCCTTCCCTTCGGGCCATGGCCGCATCCTCAGCTCCTCCCTAGCCCATTCATTTCACAGGGCTCTTCCTTCCTCTGTCGAAGGGCACTGGCCCCTTCGGGAGGTTCCTCTGAGCCACCAATGCCCCGGATGGGTGGTCATGAAAAGTCACCAGTTCCACCTCCAGCCAGAAGTCCCACAAAAGTGAAAGACACTGAGGACAAAGCCACCCTTCCCTTCTTTAAAGGAGAAGGGGCGGTGCTTCAAAGAGTATCCCCCAAACCCATTCTTTAGAGCAGGGTCCCCAACCCCTGGGCTGCAGACTGGTACAGGTCTGTGGCCTATTAGGAACAGGCCTCACAGCAGGTGGGCGAGCTTTACTGCCTGAGCTCCGCTGCATGTCAGATCAGTGGGGCAGTGCACGATAGGATTGTGCTTCCGTGAGAATGAATGGGGCAGTTCATTCTCAGGGGAGTGCACTCCTCTCGTGAACTGCACATGTGAGGAATCCAGGTATGGCACCTTGAAAAGAATCTAATGTCTGATGATCAGAGGTGGAACAATTTCATCCCGAAACCATCCCCCACCAACCCCATCGGTGGAAAAATCGTCTTCCATGAAACTGGTCCATTCCTGGTGCCAAGAAGGCTAGGGACTGCTGCTTTAGAGCTGGTCCTCGGGGTGGAGGCTGGGAGTGGTACCTGCTTTCCATGGGCACAGCATCTGGCTGTGTTGTGGCTGCAGTCCAGTGGGTCTGAGAGGGGCGAGGGGGGAGGGGCAGAAGGAGAGGAGGGAGGAGGGGTGGGAGAGAGAGGAGGGAGGGGGACGGGACAGGGGGCTGTGTTGTCCAGGTAAGGGCGTGTCCGCTGGGAAGCACTGTGGGATTCCTGGGCGAGGACTGTGAGACGCTGGTCAGCGTGCGGGCAGGGTCTTTCAGGCTTTCTTTGTTTTTAATGACATCAGAGTGCGCGCCACACATAGGGGTGTCCTGGTGTTGGCACTGACTGCCTGAAGCCCAGGCACTGCCCCCTCTCTCAGGCCACAGATGCGCCCAAGGGCAGGGTTTCTCCAGGCCCGCCTGGCCCCGCTTCGTGCCATCCTGCAGTGCCAACGCAGCGGCAGTACCACATCTTCCTTCCCATGCATGGTTACCTGTGGCCGAAGCAGCAGGTGTGCACGATGTGAGGCCCAGGAGCTGTCTGCCTCCTAAGGGGGCTACGGGACTGAGGAGGTGGACCCCACGTTGGCCCTGACCAGCTCTGCCCACCTCCTTTTGAGGACACATGTGCCGAGAACAGCCAGGCTAAGGAAACATGGCTCGCACACCGGAGGCCCTGGGGAAAGACTGCAAAGATCCTTTTAATACTCTTTCCTGACTTTTTCCATAGTGTAATAATTTTAGGAAGTTTTGAAAGCACAGAAAAGTATACAGAAGAAAATTAAAATTACCTGGTCCTGCACAAGCACAGTGATCATCGTTCATGCATTTGCCAGTTTTCCTGGATTTTGGTAAACAGATATAAGTGCATATTTTACATGGAAATATTCCATGTTTAGTTTTGATCCTTTAAAAGGATCCATGTTTGTTTTTGTCCCTTTAAAAGGATTCTTCCTGTGAGTGAGAACATGCGGTGTTTGATCTTCTGCTCTTCTGTCAGTTTGCTGAGAATGATGGTTTCCAGGTTCATCCATGTCCCTACAAAGGATGAACTCATCGTTTTTGATGGCTGCATAATATTCCATGGTGTATATGTGCCACATTTTCCCTATCCAGTCTATCGTCGATGGGCATTTGGGTTGGTTCCCGGTCTTTGCTATTGTAAACAGTGCTGCAAACAATGAGAACACATGGACACAGGGAGGGGAGCACTACACACTGGGGTCAGTTGAGGGGAAATAGGGGAGGGACGGTGGCGGGTGAGGAGCTGGGGAGAGATAGCAAGGGGAGAGATGCCAGATGTAGGTGATGGGGAGGAAGGCAGCAAATCACACTGCCACATGTGTACCTATGCAACAATTTTGCATGTTCTGCACATGTACCCCAAAACCTAAAATGCAATAAAATAAATAAATGGGGGAAAAAAAAAGGATTCTTCATATCATTCAATAATCTCCTAAAATACAGTCCCAGCAACTGCCTTCATTTCATTAGACGCTGAAATGGATTTAACTGTTCTATGGTGGTTAGCCATATATTCTTGTTTCTTCTTTCCTGGTATACATGATATTGAGAACATTCTGGAACAAGATGGCTGTACTCAATTATTGAAATTCCTGAAGGATAAATACCTGGAGGAGAATCCCGGATCAAGGAGGGGCTCCCGGGAATGCTCTGGGCCCTGCTGGAGGGACAGGCTCTGGCCACGGGCCGCCACGCATACCCTTTAGAAACAGACTTTGCCATTATGATCGGCCAAAAATGAAACCACGCTTTATTTTATTTTAAGACAGGGTCTCGCCCTATCACTCAGGCTGGAGTGTAGGCTCACTACAGCCTCGACCTCCCGGGCTCAAGTGATCCTCCCGCCTCAGCCTCCCGAGTAGCTGGGACCCCAGGTGGGCGCCACCATGGGGGGCTAATTTTATAATTTTTGTAGAGACGGAGTTTAGCCGAGTTGGCCAGGCTGGTTGCAAACTCCTAGGCTCAAGGGATTGGCCTGCCTTGGCCTCCCAAAGTGCTGGGATTACAGGCGTGAGCCACCACGCCCAGCCTTTTTCACTTAATTTGGAAGCTTGGAGATAAGTGTCATACAGGCCCGTGTATGGCTGCCTGAAACCTCACTTTAAAACCAGATGTATTTGTTTGCACCTGCTGAGGCCGGGTGCTGTTTGCCTGCGGCTTGGCTGTTTGTAACTGTCTTTCGTGAATTGCTTTTTCTTATCATTTGCCCATTTTTGTGCTGGAATGTTTACCTTTTCCTTGCTGATGTGTGACAGCTCTTCAAGTCCCCTGTCACATGCCTTCCAGCATGTTATCTGATCACAGGCTGGCCTTTGCACATCGGTGGTTTTCACAAGCGTACATTTTCCACAGCCAGACCTCTGGTTTCTTATCTTCGTGGCATCACCTTTGCTCCTGTGCTTAGACTATGCTTCCCCGTTGGAGGGAAGGAAGCATTTTCCTGTTTTTACACTGTACTTGGTTTGTTACCTTTGGCTCTTAAATCCGGTGCTTCCCAATTAGGGGTATGCCCCAAAAGTCCCAGGAGTGTTTTGCTAACCATGGGTCCCTGCCTCAGTCCATCCAGATCTCTCCATCAGCCCCCAGGGTGGGGCGGGCAATGGCGGCCAGGGCAGGGGGTGGGCAGCCTGGTTGTTTTGGAAAAAGTGCCGCAGATGATGCAGGTGCAAGCCTCTGATGATGGGTGTCTTCCTTCTGCCACATGTGTGATATAAGATAAGGATGTTATTTTTCTTGGCTTATATTTTAAGAACAGCTGATTGCACGAGTATATTTATTGTGCAAACGTGCCATCTCTCCCCACTCAGTGACATTATAATAAGCCAAATTCTCAACTATAACACAGGAACGCTTCCCACAGTGAGCCTGCAAAGACCCAGTGTCTCTGTTGTGGTGTTTCTGGTTCCTAGGTGACTTGGAGGATACCTGGAGCTCTGTGATCTTGGTGGGGACCCCTCAGTCCCAGCCGGGACTCACTGCAGACCCTGTGTCCCCGGTGGGGCTGGGCTCTGCTAGACCTTCGGAGCAATAGCTAGTCAGACCTGTGGCCCCAATCCAGCCAGCATCACACACTCTGATACCAGCATAGGTCTCATGTCAGCATAAGCCCTGGGCTGCAGGGCTGTGCCCAAGGACACTCTCCTACTCCAGGTCCTAAAGGAGGGAGGATCGCAGGAGAGGTCTCTCCTCATCCCAGGCAGATCTCTCAAAATGGCCTGTAGGCAGGATTCCAGATGCCTGAGCTGGCGGGAGCCCAATCCCCACCGCTGGCTCCCAGGCTAGAGTGAGGCCAGGACGTTACCGAGCTCCTTGGAGTTGAGGACCATTTGCCCCTCAGCTGGCCGCCTGGCCCCCCGGGGACTTGAGCAAAGTTGTTCGATCAACACAGGGGAGGTGAGACCACGTCTAAGCAGGGGTCTGATGCACGTGCAGTGCCCTCACTATCTAGGAAAGGTTTGTCACCCAAGCACAAGGAAGCTGGATTTGGACATCTGACAGCAAAGCATGACCCATTTTATGGGCGGCAGTGAGTCTGAAAGCAGGTAACTGGGACACCGGAAAGCTGGGTGGGCATGTCTGGACTTCTCCCTCCCCAGGGATGTCTTCCGGTCAGACTTAGGTGTGTTCTTGCCAGAGAGGTCAAACTTGACAGCCAGCCAGCCCTTGATCGGCCTGCCCCTCCGGCCTCATCTCCTGTGCCTCAGCATGTGGCCATGTCCCCCAACATCTCTCACCCTCTCCACTGCACAGAGCTCTGTCTTGGGTCCCCAAGGCCCGTGTGGGTAGTCTGAGTCCTTCCCTTACTTGGCAGGTTTCTCCATGGCACTGGTGTTGATGGCTCTCTCCTGACTCTCAGCTCTCCTTGGGGTTCCTGCCTCTCAGTCCCTGGCTGGGCTTCTCCCTTCCCTCTCTGAGATGATGCCCTCCAGGGCTCTGTCTCTGCAGCCTTCCTCACTCACAGGGTTTTCATTCCTTCCCAGGGCCTTGCCTTCTTTTTATAAGTGGGGCACACATAGATCTTTCCCCGTCTACCCCCACCGCAGTGAGCGGTCCCACGGCCTTCTGCTGCCTTCGCAGGTGTCTGGGGCCCCCACGTTCATGTGGGCTGATGGCATCTCACCCAGCACTTCTTCCTGCTCACTATTTGCCCCTCAGCCCCTCCATGCCAGGACCTGTGGCTGAGTAGGTTTCCATCCTTACTTTTTTTTTTTTTACAGTTTTATTCAGGTATTATTTACATAACCCCAGATTCACCCATTGTATTGATTTTTAGTAAATTTGCAGAGTTGTGCCACCATCCCCTCGGTCCAGATTTAGAACACCTCTCTACCATCTCATGCCAGTTAGAATGGCGATCATTAAAAAATCTGGAGACAACAGATGCTGGAGAGGATGTGGAGAAATAGGAACACTTTTACACTGTTGGTGGGAGTGTAAATTAGTTCAACCATTGTGGAAGACAGTGCGGCAATTCCTCAAGGACCTAGAAACAGAAATTCCATTTGACCCAGCAATCCCATTACTGGGTATATATCGAAAGGATTATAAATTGTTCTACTATAAGGACACATGCATACAAATATTCATTGCGGCTTAGTGTACGATAGCAAAGACCTGGAAGCAACCCAAATGCCCATCGACGATAGACTGTGCCACAAAATGTGGCACATATACGCCATGGAATATTACGCAGCCATCAAAAACGATGAGTTTTTGTCCTTTGTAGGGACATGGATGAACCTGGAAACCATCATTCTTAGCAAACTGACACAAGAGCAGAAGATCAAACACTGCATGTTCTCACTCATAGGCGGGTGTTGATCAATGAGAACACATGGACACAGGGAGGGGAGCACTACACACTGGGGTCTGTTGGAAAGAAATAGGGGAGGGACAGTGGGGGGTGGGGAGTTGGGGGGGATAACATGGGGAGAAATGCCAGGTATAGGTGAAGGGGAGGAAGCCATGTAACGCAAAAAAAAAAAAAAAAAAAAAAAGAACATCTCTCTCACCCAAAAAGCATTTTCTTGTGCCTGTTTGCAATTCCCCACTCCCTGCCCCACCCCTGGCTCAGAGCAGCCCCTGATCTGCTTTCACACTGTAGAGCTGCCCCTTCGGGATCTTGAACATTTACTTTTTTGCCAATTCGCTCCTGAGATTGGGTCTCAGCAAGGGTAAGGGTAAGCAATGGCTCTGGAGAGGTGACACAAGGTAAATGGTGGAGGAAGGACCTCTGGAAATTCTCTCTTCCAGAAAATTGATGACAGTGCTGGCAAAAAAAAAAATCATCATAATCAGCTGTTTCAAAACTCTGGAAATTAACCAGAGGCCCATAGATATTTAGGCAATGCTTATTCAAGAAAAACAGCTGACTTTCCTTAAAAACACTTGGCTTCATGGTGCTTTGTTTGTTTTGAGACAGGTTCTTACTCTGTCCCCCGGGCTGGAGTACAGTTGATATCATAGCTCACTGTAACCTAGAACTCCTGGGCTCAAGGGATCCTCCTGCCTTAGCCTCCCAAAGTGCTGGGACTGCAGGTGTGAACCACCATGCCTTGCTAATTTTTAAATTTTTTGTAGAGATGGGGGTCTCACTATGTTGCCCAGACTGGTCTAGAGCTCCTGACCTCAAGCAAACCTCCTGCTTCGGCCTCCTAAAATGTTGGGATTACAGGTATGAGCCACTGTGCCTGACCCGTGTGGTGATTTAGCCTGCAGTGTTCTCATCATTCTCCCCTCAGCTCCACAATGGCCTTGGAGACTAACAGCCCACCACTATAGTGAAAATGAGCATATGGCACCTGCTGAAAGGTGTAGAGAGGGTTGGAGCTCCTTCAGAGTCCCATTTCCACAGAACTGTCATTATTTGACCTCTCTGGTAGTTCCCTAAAGACCCCACCCGCAAGGCTTTCTTTATTGGATCGGACTTGGAGGATGGCCAGTGTAAAGAACTGTCTCCCCAGAAGCATTTGTTGAAAACAACCAGAGGCAATTGTTGGATATTATGGTTGCCTGAGGTGGTGTACAACAGTTGGCACAAATAACAGGCAACCCAGATATTTAAAAGGAAAAGCTGGGAAATAAGATGTCCATAGGGTCTTTGACAAGGTTCTGACACATTCTTGGGAATCTGGAAGGCCATGTGTATGGATGAGTACATACTCAGGAGAATCTCAAGTCTCACCTCTGGTTAACCTTGAAGCTCTGCACAAGTGGGAAGTAAAGAGTAAGGTGGAGTTGCCAGTTGCTTGGCTGAGTATCGAAAGTGTGCTGCTACACATACACAGAGCCCCTCTGCAAAGGCTAAGAGACATACTGGTTCCAGGCATCTAAAAAAATGTGTGTCCAATCATTTAGCTGCCCATTAAGCTAACTGAGTAGAGACTTCAGTGACCACACAAAAAAACAAACCTGACCTGAGGTCAGGAGTTCAAGACCGGCCTAGCTAACATGGTGAAACCCTGTTTCTCCTAAAAATACAAAAAAATTAGCCAGGCGTGGTGGCACTTGCCTATAATCCCAGCTACTTGGGAAGCCGAGGCAGGAGAATCACTTGAATCCAGGAGGCAGAGGTTGCAGTGAGCCAAGATCACACTATTGCACTCCAGCTTGGGCAACAAGAGCGAAACTCTGTCTAAAAACAAACAAACAAACAACAACAACTACAACAAAAAAGATTTATGTGGGTAGAAAAAAGAATCATTACACTTAAAGAGGTCAATTGAGATTATCTAAGGAACAGAAAGAAAATGATTGGGTCTAAAAAACAGACAGAACAGGATGAAGAAAGATGAACAGAGCTCCGGAGACCTATGGGACAGCAATCAAACATACTTACAAATGCATAATAGGAGTTCCAGAAGGAAGGGAGGGGAGAAAGGGTAAAACAATATCTGAAGAAATAATGGCTAAAATTTTTGATAAAAAAAATATAGGTACAGTTCATAAAGCAAGCATCCCAGAGCAGCAATGCAGAAGCCACTCATCACACATAGTAGAGCCTCAGTAAGATTGACAGCTGATTTCTCACCAGGAACCATGGAGGCCAGAAGGCAGTGACATATTCAGAGTGCTAAAGGAAAACAACAAAACAAAACACTATTAATGATGAATCTATATCTGCCAAAAATGAGGACATTCCCAAATAAACAAAAACTCTGTTTAGCATTAGCAGACCTGCCCTACAACGAATGGTATAGACCAGTGTCTTTCAGGCTGAAATCAAAGGACACTAAATAATATTTCAACTCCAATTAAAGAAATAAAGAA